AACACCATTCTGGAAAAGTCTGTACGTGGGGTTTATTTCTATAGGAAGCAGTGAGATACCATGGAAAGAACAGTAGGCAGAAAGAACAGGCTTACCCATCAACCAGCTGTGTGGTTTTTGTACCTCCTTTGACCTCTCTGTGTCTCAATTCCTCACCTGTAGAAGAGGGTCTTTAAGATCACTTCTGGCTTCCATATTGATTCTCCAGGCCTGTGACTAGTATTGAAGCAGTCTTCTCAAAAGTCTGGGTTTGGAAAACACAGAATGTATAGGCTCATTTCAAAATGGAGTTGTTAAAGGGGCACTTGGCTGGCTCAATCAGTGGAGCGTGCGGCTCTTGATCTTGGGGTTGTGAGTTTGAGAGCCCCATGTTGGGTGTGGAGATGGCTTAAAAATAAAATCTTAAAGAAAAAAAAAAAAGGAATTAAAAGTCACCCAGGCCAATGTATTGATGGGTGGCCAGTCATGGGCAGAGCTCAGAACAAATGGAGATATGATGTCCTTAGTGAAGCCACACACTGAGGTTTTATAACTGTGGATAATCGAATTGTACAAACATTGATTTGCAAGGTGCTTACTATGTGCCAAGTTTCAAATCTGCTTCCCTGGCTTTCTTCTCTGCACAACAGTGAAAACATTCACTTGGGCCTGAGGCAGAATCCTAAGAAATTTGCCTTAGTTTGCTTTGGAGCTCCAATGGCCCTGCCCTGCCCTTAGTGTGCTCAAACCACTCTCCAAGACTGTCTTCTCCAGGCCAGGACTCTGCTTTGATAATGAATCTCAAATGTGCTCTCAACACTGGGGCATTCTGCTTTCACTAGTCATTACTTAATTCTTTCTTCACACGTGTCCCAAGCTCTCAGACACACTCACCTTGCCCCATGGTCACTGAGAAAATGGAAGCCATTAGATGTTTCCTGTCTTCCCAACAGCCAATCTACAAGGTGACTTCTTCCCTACTGCCCTGGAGGGAGTGCCCCTCTACCTAACGTTCTGTTAATTAAACAATTAGACTGAGGTGGCTCTAAGGCCCTGGCGGCCTAGGTAGTAAGCAACCCAAAATATGGGCCTGTAAATGCCACTAAGGACAACCAATCACAAAACTTCCTTCCCTTCCACCTTTTCCCTGTTAAGTCTCTTCTTGAGCTCCTGTTGGTGGAGTGCTCCCAGCTCCTTTCTGTCTGGTGCTGCCTCATTCAAATCCATTTTTGCTCATATAAACTCTTCAAGTTAAAAAAAAATTTTTTTCTTAATGTTGATTCATTTTTTTTTGAGAGAGAGAGACAGAGACAGACACAGAAAGAGGGAGACACAGAATCTGAAGCAGGCTCCAGGCTCTGAGCTGTCAGCACAGAGCCTGCTGCAGGGCTCGAACCCATAGACTGTGAGACCATGACCTGAGCCGAAGTTGGATGCTTAACAGACTGAGCCACCCAGGTGCCCCTAAACCCTTAAAGTTTTTAAATAGGTCTCAGTTTCTCTTTTAACACTACAAACACATGTGTTGGGTTCACTTCCCTCTTGCCTTCTCAAAGCTTCCCCCCCTTAAAAAAAATGTTTATTTTTGAGACAGCGAGAGAGTGGGGGAGGGGCAGAGAGAGAGAAAGAGCATCTGAAGTGGGCTTTGCACTGACAGGAGAGAGCCCGATGTGGGGCTTCTACTCACAAACCGGAGATCATGACCTAAGCCGCTCAAATGACTGAGCTTCCCAGGCATCTCCCACCCCCACTTATTTTTTTAAAGTTTATTTATTTTGAGAGAGAGAGTGTGAACACAAGTGGGGGAGAGGGGGAGGAAGGGGGAGAGGGGGAGGAAGAGAGAGAGAGAGAGAGAGAGAGAGAGAGAATCCCAAGCATGCTCCCCGATGTCAGCATAGGGCCCAATGCTAGGCTCGATCTCATGACCCTGAGATCATTATCTGAGTCAAAGTCAAGAGTCAAATGATTAACCGTCTGAGCCACCCAGGTGCTCCTGCTCTCTTTTTTAATCACCCCCTGTTTCTTCAGCTTTTCCCCTCCCCTACTGTCCCAGTCTTACCAGCATATGAATCATGTCTTTTCTCCTTTAAAAATCAAAACGAACAAAAAGAAACACAATCCAAACACTCTGTTGAGCCTTCTAAATCTCCTTAAGATTTGCCTACATATCTGAATTTCCTTCAAACCACTCCAGGCTGGCTGTGGCCCCTACCCCCCCCATCACACTTGCTTTGCTAAGGTCACTGTACTGGGTTGAATGGTAACCCCCCAAAAGATATTTGAGTCCTAACCCCTGAAACTGTGAATGTGAACCTATTTGGAAAAAGATGTAATTAAGATCTGGAGATGAGATCATCCAGGACTTAGGGTGGGCCCCAAGTCCAATGACAAACGCCCTTACAAGAGAAAGGCAGGGGGAGATTTGGGACATGGGAGAGACCTAGGAGATAAGGCCGTGTGAAAATGGAGGTGGAGAGGAGAGTGATGCGTTTATAAGCCAAGGAATGCCACAGACTACTAGCAGTCAACAGAATCTGGAAGAAGCCTGGAAAGATTCCCCTCTAGAGCTTTCAAAGGAAGGGCACCTTTGCTTGATTTGGGACTTCCGGTCTCCAGAACTCTGAGAATAAATTTATGCTGCCTTAAACCACCACATGGTGGTAATTTGTAATGGGGGCCCTAGGAAACTAATGACCAATGAACTCCATGTTGCAGAATTCCAAACACCATACCATCTCCATCTTCCATTTTGCAGCAGTATTTGACTCAGCTGACTGTTCCTTCTTGGAGCATCTTATGGTCCTGGCTTCCAGAGAACCACTTCTTGTTGGGTTCTCTCTTCTCTTTGTGAATGCTTTATCTCAGGGTTCTTTGCTAGTTTTCTGCTTCCACTTAACCTCTAAATGTGTACTCTCCCTGCTCTATATTCTCTCAAGTAAATCCCACTCACACCTGTGGCTCTAAATATCCTCCACATACTGAAGGTTCTCGAACTGGTGCCTCCAATGTGGAGCTGCTGAGAGTTTCAGTCATGTGTATCCCATGCCTCCTTGACACAGCAGCCTCAGTGTTCCGGTGACACCATTTATGAGCCAACACACATGCACAAAACAGGACTTCTGAGCTTCACCAAACACTCCTCCTGCCTGCCCTCTAGAAAACTCCTCTGGTTTCCACATCTGAAGAAATGGCAGCCCTCTCCACCCAACACGATTGCTCTACCACCAACCTGGGAGTCATTTTTCCCTACTCTCAGATCCAGTTCCTAAGCAAATCTTGTCAATTTAATATGCAAGCTATATCTCGATTCCATTCACTTCTCTTTATCTCTACAGTCACCATCCTGAGACCACACGACATATCTACCTGGTCTCTTGAAATAGCTTCTGAGTGATTCTCCATACAGCAGCCAGTACTCGTAGCAGATTCTGCTGTGCCTCTACTTAAAGTCCTTCAAAGGATTCCCATTGAACTGAGCATGAAATCCAGACTGTGTGTGACCTTGCCCTGCCTTCTGTCCATCTTTCTCCCTCTGCTCCATCCACAGTGGATCTTCCTTAGGCTCCTTAAGATTCCTCAAGAACTTGCAAGTTTTTCCTAACCTTGGACCATCTCTGCCTGGGATTCTGTCCCCCACACTCTGTGCCTTCAGCTCACTTCCTCAGGGAGGACTCCCTGATAGCAACCCCCCCCCCCCCCCAATTTTACATTGGCTTCTCCTGTTCTTTTCTCTCACAGAACTCGATCTTTTCCACCATGGCATTTGCCACAATCTGTAATTACACATTTGATCATGTGTTTATTTATTTACTGTCTTCCCCACTGGGTTGCTTCCAGAAAGCAGCTGGGACTGTGTCTGTTTCTCTTCGCTGAACACAGAGCGCCTAGCTCAGGGGCAGCCACGACAAGATGCTCCATAAACATGTGTTGAATGAATTCCCTCTCTTCTAGCAAATGTGTATTTTAGCAGGAACGCTCATCAGGTGGGAGCACTTTCATCCAAAAGAAAAAAGAAATGACAAACATCTAAATTTTATGAAAACCCGAAGACTTTGTTTTACAAACATATAAATTATTTTATTTACAAAGCCATGTTACAAAAAAAAAAAAAAGCAAAAAAAAAAAAAATTACAATCGCTCACTGGAGAATGTCTCCAGGCCTGGTGCTGAAACCATGGCAGTATCAATAGATACGTGTTTGTTCTTTCCTTTTAAAACTGTAAGCCATAGAATTTACTATTTACACCTACTTTAGACATTTATTCTGCTTACAATATCACAGGCATGGAATGAATTCTATCTGGTAGTGCTAATATGTAAAGGTATGGGACAAAGAAGGAAAATACTTAGTGTTACAAAATATGGATCGTAGAAAAGAAACCCACTCCACAAGTGTGGCATTTGTTTAGAATGTTTGGACATGCTTTCTCCAAAATTCTTCTGGAAAAGGTTCTAAAAATCGGTAGTAGGAAAGGACAAATGAGCAGGTGCAAATCCTTGTCTGTGCAACAACAGTTATTGAATATACCCCATGACTGACCAGCTACGTGAAACCCACAGAGTTTTGTTAAAGTGCCATGGGCCGACGGCATAACAAAATATAAGGTGTAAATAGAAAATTTCTTTTTTTCCTTTTTGAAAACAAGAGTTCACTGAGAATCAGCAATAATAGAATATGCTGTAGAAACTATTCTCTACAAAGGTTGATCAGCATTATTTACAATTGGTACATTGATACAAAAGAAGGCATACAAGTTATCCAAGTCGCTTTTTTTTTATGGCTGACAGGTCTATGCATTGTGTTATGCTTAACAACCAGAGCTTTCGAGCCTCTATGGCTGGCGACAAGTCACGAGATCTTCAGGTAGATGGGGGGTGGGGTGGAGGTGGTGGTGATGTGTGTGTGTGTGTGTGTGTGTGTGTGCAGTCAAGGGGCTGGGAAGGGAGGGGTTGGGGGGGATGAACAGAAGTACCCAAAGGAGATCACCCTAATAATGCTTAATAGGCTGGTCCAGTTGAACTCCATTAAAACAAACCCAAAGAAAACCTTTTATTTGCATTCCACTTTTCAAGCTGTGAGTTTTTAATACATCGTTATAAAGTAAACCTGTGGTTGATTGTGAAGGAAGAAACACCGTGGGTTTTCCCTTTTTTGCTCCGTTTTCCAGCAATGTCCTCACCTTGGTCAGAGCCAGTCTTTCACCAAGTAAGCAGCATCGGTGGGGGGCCTCTTTATTCCAGCTTGCAATTCCAGATGGAGACAGCTCACACATGGAAACCTATTGAATTGCTCCGTTAGTCCCTGTCAAGACATTATTTCTCAGAAGCAGCCACTTAATCTCTCAACCTTTGTTTTCCCTCTTCGAGTGTAAGAGTTTATAACTCAGAGGGTTATTTTGTTGCTGAGATTTTTTTTTTTGTTTTTTGTTACTCCTGCAAGTTTTTACAACTTAAAATAAATTATAAACAAAACAAAAAAAAACCAACAGACTTCTTAAAACCGAACAAGACAAAAGTTGTGCAAAAATAACAAAGATATGTACATACTTTTCAGTTGGAATAAATGTACAATAAAAACATAATTCAAAGAACATTTTAAAAATATAAACATTGCTTAAACTTTCCTACGTTTCATATTGTTTCTGAAACTATTCTGGTCAGTTAGCTCTGTAATATAGTAAAACATAAATTATTACAAAATTAACACTATAAAAATTTACTTTAAGAATATCTTCTAAACTTTTTTCCAAAGGGTCTAACCTGTTTATAATTTCTTAAACATTTATAAGTCTTAAAATCTGCCTTAACTTTTTTTTTTTTTTAAAAAGAAAGAGTAACCATCTTCCTTCAATTTGCAGTCTCTTTTTCCCAAGACGTAAATAAACCAGCATATAAGTGCACTTTTAACACTGTAGAAATAAAAATGAAATCGTCTGAACTAATGTCCTGGTACCTAATGTCAACTCCTGATTTTTAAAAAAATCTTCATTTTATATTAAAAATTTTAGGAATCCTATAAGAAACACTGTCAGTGCAATTCCATTGATACAAATCACTCCGTTTGCTTCCCGTCTTCCCAAAATCTAATGTGGTGAAACTTAACAGTAGTCTGATCTTTGGGTTGAGGGGATGGGGCAGAAAAGGGGAACTTGAGGGCCGGGATGAGGGTTTGGGCCCAGCTGTAAAACTGGCATTCATTTCTGATTTAGGGATGAAGCAAAACTTCCTAGGATCTCTTGCTATTATCTCGTCCGCAAAGTTTCATGATTAATAGCGCAGGATGCCTATGTCATATTGTGAATTCCTGATTATGATTCCCTCTTAGAGCTAATCGTATTGCTACTTCTTTCAAAACTCCAGTGTGAACAGTTTTGTAGCTGCAGGGCTCTGGCTTCTTTCTTCCCTCTCTTCCAAATGGCTCTTCCTCATTAGGCGGTGGCTGGGCTTACTATGCCTTTCTGGGGGTGGGGGTGCTGTGAGTCGGGGCTTGTGATAACCTAGTATAAGCTGATCTATGGGAATGCTGATTGCACGGGACCCTGGGGCCCAGGGCACGGAGGGGCGCGGGCAGTGCTAGTATTTATTCTCACCAGGCGTTGGATACTTAACCCTCCACGGAAGCTTTCCCTCAGACCCTTCCTGCACCCCCACCCTTGCGTTTTCTCCTCTTGCCTGGCCCCGGAGGGCAGCTTAGGAACCTCCATCGCTGTGGGCACTGGGGTCTCGTGCCTTTTCCCTGGGATTCCTCCCTCTCTGGCTCACCCAGCTTTGGGGCCCTTGTGCACGGCACCCGGGAAGGGATTTGGCAGCGTGGATTCCTAACAAGCTCCGATGATCAGTCACCCAGTTTCCTCGGTCTTTTGAGGGATATCTTCCCCTACCCCTACGCTCTGCTTCCTGTCACCTTCCAGGCCCATTCCAGCCCCTGTTCCTGACCCAGTATATCCTCTCTGAGCTGCACAGCTGGACAGTGGTATTGGGTAAACGACATAGTTCAGTGGCCACTTTTCTCCAACTTGCCCACAGCGTCGGGCTCCTACGGTGCTGGTGCAGCGCAGGAACCTGCTGGGGGCGCTCAGCCCGGCCCCGCAGCTCTCCGCTCTCGGCAGAGACACAGGCTGTTTCCCAGCAAAGCCCCTCCCCCAGCACGCTGTCCAGAGGGGAGCTCGTGAGAGCCAGCCCCTTCCCGAAGGCCAGTGGGGACCCCGTGAGCGGCAGGTGGGAGGGGATGAAAGGGACAGGTGGGAGAGGTCGACGGAAGGAGCACGGCGTGTGCTCAAGTTCAAGAGTTTCAGACAACGCCAACCAGGAACTGACACTTGCAGCGTCTGCTCTCCTGGCTGGAGCAAAAGGATGGTGCGGCAGCAGCATCGGCAGCTATAGAGGGCCGACCCCGAACTTGGAAGAACGCGTACACGTGGCAAATGAAGGAACCGACACAAAACACTGGTACTGTTTTCTGTGAATCTTAAATTCACGTTCTTTTGCCTTTTGCTTTCTCTTCGGAACTCAAAACCGGTCAATTAAAAAAGGAAGAAGAAAGGCCAGAGCCACCCGCCGGCACAGGAAACAACTCTCCCCGGCTGCGCACACCCCTCCCTCCTCCTCCCGCCTCAGCCCCGGGTGGCCAGGCATTGGTTTGGAAGTGGCTTCACAGTCTTGTTACGGAAGAGTCCTGATCCTGCCCGTTCTGTTGGTGGTCTTCTAGGAAAGAAAAGAAAAGCTTGTGTAGAAACCACACACTGGGGATTACCCGCAAGAACTCAAGAACGGAGCCTCCGCTTTCTCCGTCTGGCGTGACCCTTAAGGCAACCGTCCCACCTCTTGCCTTGGGCAAAGAAACGAGGCAAATGAGCAAAGGAGGGGCATGTGAGGTGGCCACAAAGATCCTAGCTTGGGGGAAAACACAGGGGCAAACCCCGTGGACATGCATATGGTGGGGTGGGGGTGTGGTTCCCTTCCCAGAGAGAGAAGTGCAATAATTAACCAGTCTTTTTTTTTTTTTTTTTTTTGGCCTCTGTTCATTTACCTTTTCCTATCTAACCTGTGCACCACACGGAGAATTATCTAAGGAAGAAGTGTAGTGTTGGATTAACATAGAGGCTTTGGGTTCAAGTTACTTAGCCTCTTCCCCTGGGTATCTCCAATCTGTAACATGAGGCTCATCACTGGTCCTTCACAGGGTTGCTAACAGGTCTATATATATGTAAAGGGCTCAGCGTGGCACCTGCAGAAAAAGCCACCACAAATGTGGCTATTTGATTATTATTACATTTGTTAAGGGTGACCGTGTGGCCTCTGGGTGGACCCAGCAACCCGTGCAGGAGGCTTGTCAAGATCAGAGGCAGGTTGCCAGGGCCCAGACCCCTGCCCCCACCTACCCCCCCACAGAGGATAGGCTTCAGGTGCTCAGGCACAAAGTGACCCAAAATGATGGAGACGCGCTCCTTGATCTAGGGATACAAAAACGGTTTTCCTATAATCTTCACCCACACACCACCCTGACATCTGTGGGGAGACCTCAAAGGCCGAAATGCAGACAAACACATTGCAATTTGTTCTCTACAAAACCTGTAGCCCGTTGAAGACAACATAACACCACCATACGTTTATTTTTTACAGTCACATGTAACCTACAAACCCCCATCCCCTACCCACCCTGGCTTCCCCCAGGGGCACGCACAGTCCCTCGTAGCAAATCATTTGTACACTGACTACTCTCACACCTCGAATTTGTAAAAACTGCTGCATCTACCCTGGATGTTCCCACCAGGAAACCACATCTTGAACAGTAGCTACAGCTCACCAGAGGCCTTGAGACAGGACTGACTGATGGGTGTCCCTAGCGAGGCCCTGCAGTCAAAACCATTAATTTTCTCAACAACGTTAGGAGGTAGGCATCACCTTTGCTATTTAACAGATGGAAACACTGAGACCCAGAGAAGTTACTCTACCTAATATCACACAGCTGCTAATAAAAATCAGGGCTCATACTAGTGTGCTATGTGTTAGGCATTTTCTAGAGGCTTTAGGTGAATAGATTAATCTTCACAAAAACCACAGGAGGTGGGGGCCATTATGATCCCCTTATGGGTGAGGAAACTAAAGCACAGAGAAGTTAAGTAACTCGACCAAGGGCACACAGCTACTAACCAGAAGGCCTAGCTTTGGAAGCCAGGAAGCTTTGTTCTTAGCTGGAGCAGAGATTCGAGCTAGGGTCTGCCCCACTGCCCATGCCTCTGCGTTGGTGACCCTGTGCACGTCCCCCTCAGTACCTTACCTGTCGGCTGTGTCCTGGGCTGGATATGCTTGAAGGACTGGACTGTGACAAAGGTAGGCTGCTATTTTTCCCAACCTGAAAGACACCAGCGAGGCCCACTCAGATCCGCCAGCCTGTGAAAGACCCCCGGGACCCTGCGCCGCCCGGGGTACAAGAGCGCCATCCCTCCCTCCGAGCGGTGCATGGCTAGTGTTTCCATCTCAGATGGCAGAGGAGATGAAAATGCCTTGGGGGGCATCTTGCTGACACCCTTCCCGTCCCAGAGAGAACGCAGAATGGAGGGGAACTCTTCATTCTGCTTCCCAGATGTAGACCGTGGGTTTCAGGGGGTGAGGATAAAGGCATCTGGCAAGAGGCCCGGCCCCTCCTGGGGGGGCATTTAACCCTGCAGAGGCCCCAGCTTTTCCATCCCTGACCTCGCAGAGCAGTCCCAGACCCATCTGGTTTCCGGCTCAGATTCCCTTGGACTAGCTCAGGATAAAAGCCTGCATCTTTTTCTGGGTCAGTTTTCTTGGCCAGAAGACATAGCCGACACCTTGCTATTCTTCAGAAAACAAGGCAAACGGCGCTGGGGGCAGGTGGGTGTGGCTATGGGGCTCCTTCCCTTTCTCTGTGACCGTCCTGGGCACCTGGGGAGCTGGTTCCTCAGGTGATTACCCTTCTAGCAGGCAGCTCCTCCTGGAGCCTATAGAGACCTATAGAGAGCATCGTCCTCTACGTTAACTCACCTTTGCATAAAGATGTTTGCCTTACATTGGCAGTCTGGTTTTGGTTCAATTTAATATCTCTGTGGCAATTCTGGTCTTATGCTTCCCAGACACAATTTAAGAGAGCCCTATTTGGTTCCCAAAGCCCATACCTTGAATTTCTCAACCTATGTTATGCTTCTCCAGTCTCCTAACGGGATCAACACCGATTGCAAAGGCCTTTCCCCAACACTTGGAAATCACCAGTGGTGACCCTGGACAAAGCCTTTTCTTTCTTTCTTTAAAAAAAAAAATTTTTTTTTTTTTAACATTTATTTATTTTGAGAGACAGAGAGACAAACCATGAGCAGGGGAGGGGCAGAGAGAGAGGGAGACACAGAATTTGAAGCAGGCTCCAGGCTCTGAGCTGTCAGGACAGAGCCCGATGCGGGGCTTCAACTCACAAAACGTGGGATCATGACCTGAGCTGAAGTCAGATGCTTAATCGACTGAGCCACCCAGGTGCCCCTGGACAAAGCCTTTTCTTAATGGCCTGGTGACAAGCACCCAGGCAAGTATTGCCTGCATTAGGGAGCCAGTGCTGGCTAGACCAAGGCAGCTGTTCAAGTAATCTGCTTTTTTGATTTCCCTCCTGATAAATACTCTGCTGGAGGCTCGTCTGCTCCTTTCAGGACTAATGCATTGTGTTTACTAAACTTTTTCATTCATTCATTTTTGACTAATTCATTGTGTTTACTAAATATTTCATAGAGTCCTGCTGACCCAAGAACAAACAGGGCAACATTAACACAGAGGCATGGGGGTTAAGCGTCTAGACTCCAGAGTCAAATTGCCTAGGTTTAAATCTCAGCCCTACTATTTCCTTGCTGTGTGACTTTGGGCACATTGTTTAACCTTCCTGTGCCTCGGTTTACTCATTTGTAAAATGGGGGTAATAACAGGTAACAATGAAAGGAATTAATATATCTGAAGTGCTTGGAACGGAGCCCATCCCAGAAGTAAGTGTTAGCGGCTAGAACTTTATATAAAGTGGGTGACACTAGGTGCACCTGGGTGGCTCAGTCGGTTAAGTGCCTGACTTTTGATTTTGGCTCGGGTCGTGATCTCACGGTTCATGAGTTTGAGTCCCACACTGGGTGTTGCGCTGACAGCACGGAGCCTCCTTGGGATTCTCTCTTCCTCTCTCACTGACCCTCCCCGGCTCTCTCTCTCTTTCAAAATAAATATATAAATAAATAAAAACTTTTAAAAATAAAATGGGTGACACTATAGCCTTGTTGCTCAGGGTGTGGCCTGTAAGCCAGAGAGTGGCACCCCAGACCTGTTGACAAAGAGTCTGCAGGTTCATAAGACCCCCAGGGGCTGCCTGTGCAAGTTCAAGTTTAGAAAGTCCTGGTTCTACCCTTCATCCTGAGGCCTGGAGGTGGCCCGGACCAGCAGCTTAGTCTGTGGGTGCCAGCCCCTTTCCTCTGCACCCCTGGAATTGGGGGCGGGGGGGATCAGATGGTGGCGCATCTGCTGCAGCCACAGGGCTCTAGTGGGAGGACCTACATCTCCCCTTGTCTCCCCTTGGCCTCAGTGTGCAGCCTGTCTGGCCCCCGAGAGCCAAACGTGCGGTTTCTCAGGTGTTTACCTGTGATTTGTGAACCCCCCCAGATGTTCTCTTTGTGAGGTTGTAACAAGTCTCATATAAAGATGACATAAAAATTAAAACATCTGTTTAACTGCCTCTCATCCCTCCATAGTCCTCTTCCCTAGACAGGGCTGGCCTTAGGGTCCGGCCCACTTCATTCTAAACGTGGGCAGCTGTAGCCCCCTGTTCGCCCTGCTGCCCCGGTGGGGCTCAGGCTAGGGATGGGCCCTCCCACCACCTCTGCCCTCTCCTAGCAGAGTCTGGAGGGGGTGGGCATTTGCTAAGTAGCTCCCCCGCCTGGGGGAAAAGATCAGATTTGAGGACGGCTGGTCTTGGGCTCTTCTCAGACCACGCCCCACTTTCCCAGACTTCCTCACAACACACCCTATTTGCAGGTGGCATCGGACCCTTCTGTGCCTATAGGTGTGAGATGCAGTTTTATCATAGGAGGAGGTGGGGCCGAGGTTGCCTGGAAGAGTGGGGACAGTCAGTCACCCCGGGAGGCAGTAGCACCGCCTACCATAGCCCAGGTGGCCCGGGTCATCACTGGACCTGCCTGGGCCTCGGGCTCTCACGGAGGGGATTCCCATAGACCAGATGTAATGAAATTGTGCTCAAAACTCAAGATCCAAAAGCGACAGAAGAGGAGGGGGAGCTCAGACTCTCCCTGTGCCTCAGCGTCCCCATCTGTAGAGTGGTGCTGACAACTGCACCGACTGCGCTGGGTGGTGAGGTTTAAAGTAAGTGACATGCGCGCAGCGCTCGCTCGCGACAGCTTACTTAGCACGCAGCGGCAAAGTACTCAACTACTCGGTTCTCGGAACGGAGGCTGCTCTGTTACCTGAGCTACCTGGCTGAGCAGGGGCGCTGCCCAGCTCCCTCTGCCCCCCCAGAGCCCGTGAAGGCAGCGCCGGGAGGCCCCTGGAAACACGGGTCCCTTACCTGCCGAGAGGAGGTGCTGTTAACGGGATCGGGCACCGGTGCGAGAAGGCCGGGTGGGTTCTTTTTGTGAACGCTATTCATACCAGGCATTTTAGTGATTTTACAGGCTTTGCTACTAGAACTCGAGTTCTTACGCTTTTTTCCTTCTGATTTGTCAAAAGAGAGGGGCAGCGAAGACACGGCATTGTGTGAGGCCAGAGAGAGGTCCCCTGCAAGGGAGGGCACAGAGAGGGGACAGGAGTCACTGCTGCCGCCCACCGAGCCCACGTGTCTCACTATGTCCGCGGGGCCACTGGGCAGCGAGGTCCGTCCTGAGGGCTCCAGTTTGGCACTGAGTGGGCTCACCCCATTGTTGGAGTTGTGCACAGACAGACTGTTATAGGGAGGGGCCGCCTGATAGGAGTTCAAAGCTGAACTGGCATTCAACACACAGTTCTTTTTGTGGGGCCCTGATAATGGAGACGAGAGGGATGTCTGCAAGGATAATGAGGAGGAGGAGGAGGAAGTCGAAGGCTGCGGCTTCCTCTTTTTGTTACTTGGAGACTCGTCGCTACGGGCGGACAGGTCTTTGACTTTTGAGGATTTGCTGGTTTTGGTTTTGGATGGCTTGTGGGATGGGGAAGGGATGGCGGCTGGTATCGGGGACACGGCGGATGGGGCCTTGAAGGTTGAGTCCATGATGCTGAGGGTTGCAGCCACATGGGGGAAAGCTGTGGTGTGTGACATGAGGGCGCTCGGGTCCGGCGACGCCACAAAAGCTGCGTTTGAGAGCATGGCTGATGTCATTATGTAAGAAGAGGTGAGTCTCGAGCTGATGGGGGCTGAAGGAAGATACACAGCACTGGGGTTGCTGAAAGGCTGTAAAACGGATGCTGGAACGGGGGTGGAGGTGTGGGCTGCTGGCGAGGGCATGGGGCTATCTGCCGCAGGAGGGATCTTCCTAAACATGAGAGAAGAGTGAGAGAGAAACCGTGAGAAACAGGCTTGGCACTGCTCCAGAGGCTCGAGTAAGCATGAGCCTCAGGGCTACAGAGGAACCCCAGTAGAACCAGACTATGGAGGATGAAGCCTTGGAGGATGGCGGACTCTGAATTATGGCCCTTCCCTGTGGCTCCCCCCATTGCAACATCCAGCAACCTATATTGAATGCTTTCAGGTTTTCACATCCTTGTCTCCACGCTTGGCTACTGGATAATGGCTGATTTGGCTTCGTGAATAAAGGCGAATGTTATTTAGAATAGAAGTTTCCCCAACAGTGTTCTCGCTCTTTTTTTTTTTTTTTCTGGCAGTGATGAAGGTGGTTTTTAATGAGCAGTAGTCATTTCACAGTTAGGTCCTGGCTTGAAGTAAGAGGTGTGAGGACAGGGCTTTGCCACCGGCACCCCGGGGTCACCCCTGCACACTGCCGCTCAGGGCTTCCCAGCCCCTCCTGTGCCCTGCCTCCCCCCCTGCTCCCAGGCCAGCATTCTCGGGCCTTTGCTGCCTGCAGGCTCCGGTTTACTCCAGAGAGGCGTGTCCACGTGGGCCTGGGGCTGCTGTTGCCGATTTATTTCTATTCACATCACCCAACCTTGGCTCTCACTCTGGGGAGCTACAGTGGGGGTGTGGCTGCCCTCCCACAGGCCTCCCCATCTCTGTGTCAGGGTGAGGTGAGAAGATAGGGACCCGCATGTATCCAGACAAGGGGATCGGGACTTTCCACTTTGTTCTGAAGACAGATGCAGGATGTGGGCACAGGAGAACACAAGGTCGGGGGGAGGAGGGTCTTCCAGGAGGTTGGGGGTCCCTGGGAGCAAACTCCCTGTCTCCTGTACTCTGTGGAACCAAGGGCAGCACCCAGTGGCGGGTCACTCTTGGGGCCTGCCTATAAACCCTGTCTTTTGACTCCCATGTCCAAACCATGGCCTGGGTCAATATTGCTGCTACTCTGGGAACCAGGAGGAGGAGCATAGGGGCTTTGGGGGTCACCGTTCGTTCCTCATTTTATTCTGCAGGAAGGGATACTGACCTCAGGAGCCAGGTGAGTATTTTCAAACGGGCTCTTTCCTAGTTCTCCCCTTGCTGCCCGCCCCCCACCCCCCGCTTTTGCCTGGAAATCATTTTCAGTGTAGCTGAGCCCCCCACCCCAGCAGTTAGGAACTAGCTCTCTTTCTTTGAAAGTGGTACTTCAAGGTGGGCAGGCTTGGGGCCTGCACCCCCATAGCTTCGAGCAAGACGTGAGACGAGGCCTCTCGAAAGCCCTTCTGTCCTTGGAGGCCACTCTCTTGGCTGCAGCAGCAGGATGAGGCCCCACTGTGAAGGAAATGCCTCTCCTAGCGCTGCCCTGAAGATTCAGTGTCCTGCCTGCAATGTGGTGGAGCCTATGGTTTCCATCTTTAGGGTGGAATCCAGAGGAGTCCTTGAATACAGAAGCACAGTGTCCTTGAAAACATCAGATCAAACAGATCAAATATAAGAGAAAAATGTTGCCAAATCCACTGTGGCCACGATGACGTTCGAAAATCTACTTTTTCTTAGGCCTAAAGAACGTAAAAGATCCTGTCCACACTAAATCAGTGCTACGTTAGTTCTTGTTGCAATGAACTAATGAGTGAATGGATGGATGGATGGATGGATGGATGGGTGGGTAGGTGGGTGGGTGGCTGGATGGGTGGGCAGGTGAATTCTCAGCAGCAACATAACTAAGCATGCTGGGCAAGGACTCCCATGATATCAGACCGGAAAGGTCTAGACACGCCCTTAAAACTGTCTGGCACTGCACAACCCCTTCCTGATGCTTTAGGGGCGATTCCTTGCAACGTGTGGCATGAGCACACTCTCCCTGCTGTCTCTGTTCCTGGCTGTGGTGCCACAGGCAATCCACTCCATCTTTCCCTGACTCAAGTTTCTTACTAGCTAAAATGTGGATAGAAATACACGTGGGCAGAGGTTTGCAGTTACTTGTAATAAATGTTATTTTCTGAATACCAGATGGCTCATTTAGAGAGGACCCCAATCAGTGCCCTTCAGTGGGATCTACTCTGAACGTCCCAATTTGTAACTTTCCCATTCAATAGTATAAATGTGTGCTTCAACTTGTGTGGACAAGCAGGGCTGAAGTCCCCAGTCTTGCCCAGCTGGCACTCAGGACTGGGATGGATGCTACTTTTTAGCCTACTCTCTATCCCTTTCCTTCTTTTCCCGCACTAATCATAAGTGGATAGCAGAGGCAGAGGGGAGAGAGGGCAGGGGAGTGAGGGGCATGTGGAGGCTCACTGTCCCGGGGGGCCCCACCCCCCCCCCCCCCCATCCCGTGCTAAATAGTTTATATGTTTTTCTAGGTGCCAAATGGCAGCGGATTTCAGCTTTGCGGACTGTGCCCTGGTTTAAACTTTGCACGCCGGCCTAGGGAAGTCCCGTACAAAAGCCCACAGATGCGCATAAATTACTGACAGTGCCCATCCTCCCCTGCCAGCTGGCATGGAGATCCAGATGCTGACCTGGCTGAAAGAGAATACTGTGTTGGCGTCTCCTGATGCAGAGTTAAATGCTTGTTAAAGAAAAAAGAGTCTTGGCCGTTCCTTTTCTTCCTAATGTCTTCCACGCCCCCATCGGCTGCCATCCCTCCAGGTTCGGGCCCGTCGGGGCCTGGGGTTTGGGCAGCGAGGTTGAGAGGGCAGCGGGGTGCTACGCTTTCCAGAGTTGACACCCAGGCAGCCCCAATGTTGCTCAGTGACAGCAGATTGGTTAGGCAAGTCCTGAAAAGGGGGGAGGGACCTGATGCCCTGTGGCTCGGGTTTCTGTGCCTGAGGAGGAAAGGAATATGGAGCTTGAGCTGACAGGACACCAGGTAGCGAAATACAGATCAACACATTCCTTCCACGTGTCCGGGATTTACACTTCCACAACACAGGAGAGCAAAGAGCGGAAAGAATCACCGGGGCGGGCTGCCATCTTGGGGGAACAAGTGCAGAAGGATAAACAACCAAATAACTGAGAACACGGTAACCCCGCATGCAGCGCCCGTGTGTTGGCGTTTAGAATGGACACAGGCAGAAACCAAGGGTGCCTTTTAGACACACTGAGCAGTCGTTTCAGTGGGAAGAAACGATAAGCTTCTCTTGTGGCCCTTTCCTACTTTGTGGCAAGTGTCAACGTTGAGTCCACTAGGCCAGTTTACGGCACACACCGTGGGGCTTGTTTCTGCTACGAGCTTGGGTCCGGAAGCTCTTTGGGCGTCGTGGTGAAAAGGAGCTGCCTGGGAGAGAGGAGGGAAGCTGGGGGAGGGGCAAGCTCTGAATTCTGTTCCCAGGCCCGCCACCCACAGCACCCTCCTGTGTCTCAGGAAAGCCTTCCTGCCCTTCCTGGGCTTCCCTGGGCAGGCAGGGTGAGGGGTTTGGCGTTGGCCTTTCCTGGGCCTAGACCTGAGGGATCCATGACTCTAATGGGTTGTGAGGTCTTAAGAGCTCACCTGGGTAGGGGTGGGGGTGGGGGCTGCCAGTGGGCTTGAGTGGCCGGCACTGGTGCTCCTTATGTGCCGTGGTTGGAGAGGGTCTAGCTTGTCATTCTCTCATAGTGGCATTTGCCTAAATCAGGAAGTTTTCTTCCCTTTTTATGACTCTCCTATTGGGAGGTGTTGGAGAACAAAGGGGGCTCAGAGAGATGGAATAGAAGCTGGGGTTTAGGGTGGAGAGAAACACAGGGAGAGGCGAGGAGAGAGATCTAGCTAGGTGGGAAGGGCCAAAGACAAGCTTAACCAACTTCAAACATCGCCTGGGCTCTGCCTTGTTGGCCGCTGTACATATTTTTTCCACAGGACATTAAACAATTAGAAATTGGTCCATAACCATAGTGAAGTTTTTAGCATCGACACTGTAGCATTGACATTACAAACAGAGGCATATTCTTAGTATCCTTAGATGTTCTCAGTCAGAGCATAAAGGCCCTTTAACACTCTTGCATACACGAGATCTTATCTACTACTCTTTTCACCTAGTTTAGAAGATTACCAACAGAAAAATGATCTCCAAAGAAAGACAAAGCATACCATATATCCAACGCGTCTCTGAAAAACTGGGGGCAAGGCATTAAGAAGCGCTGACATTAAAGAATTAATCATGGATCCCGTTCTCAGAATCATTTTGCTCTACGAAAAGCCAACTACCAACATTGATCTAGAAAGCTGGGGTTCAGACCATCGTGGGGCAGCTCTGAGCACATACAGCACGAAAACTGCGCACTTACTTCCACATCTGGGAATTCAAGTGTTTTTCTACCATGGAGTTTAGTGCGAATCGAAAACGATCCCATCTTCTATCAAACACATAGTACCCTCGTCCCATGAGGCGACTCCCGAATGAGCAAAACTGTGAGGGAAAAAAAAAAAAATTTAAATTTTGATTACAGGTTAATAAGCTAATATAGACCATGCAGAGAAAAATAACATTTGCACAAAAACACACAGGGGTACAATTTTACTCAAAATAAAGAAGCAAATAGTTCCGAAGCCAGAAATATTTCTGCGGTGCTTTCGTTTGTGTTTTAGATTTTCTGCAGAACTTGTTGTTATGACTCAACAATAGTGACATTCAGTTTTCTGTGGCACAGAGGGCTACCTTCTCTACACCTGGACCAAACCAGCATTTTAGGGTAAAAAATCCCCGCAAAAAACAAAAAACAAAAAAAAACAAAAACAGCAACAAACCAAACCAAACTGAGAACAACCAGCAGCCAGTGTGATTTTTCAGCACCGCCCGCTTACGGTGTCATCCATCCATCTTCTCCGGGGACTCGGCGGTTCCCTGCCTCTCATTACGGTCACAGAAGCTGCTTGTCCTGATGCAATCTGCCATCTTGTTGGAGCTTTCCTATCTGTTGTCAACAGAGCCACTTGACTTCCAACTAGGCTGAACTCCTTCCTTCCCTAGTCCTGACCTCACGTCCGCCTCTCAGCACTTCTAGGCAACATGTCACCACCACCAAGCTTCCATTCGTGCTGTTCCCTCCGCTGGCCACCCCCTTCCCTCTTCTCTCGCAGTCCCAATTCTCCCCTCCCCCAGTGCCGTAATTGCGACTCTCATTCCCAATGGCCCTTATCTGACCAACCTCGCCCCTTTGAGCTCTCACGGCACACCTACTACATACTTTACTACATTTCACCATGGAATCACTACATGGCTGTTTTGTGTGTGTGTGTGTGTGTGTGTGTGTGTGTGTGTGTGTGTGTGTTTAATGTTTATTTTTGAGAGAGTGAGAGACAGAGCACGAGCAGGGGAATGGCAGAGAGAGAGAGAGAGAGACACAGAATGTGAAGCAGGCTCCAGGCTCTGAGCTGTCAGCACAGAGCCTGCTGTGGGGCTTGAACTCACAAGCTGTGAGATCATGACCTGAGCTGAAGTCGGATGCCAACCAACTAAGCCACCCAGGTGCCCCGGCTGTTTAACGTTCTATGTAAATACTGCCTATGCACCTGGCTTGATTATAAAGGTATCAAGACTGAAAACCTCATTCTCCTCTTCCTCCTCAGTATGAGGTTGGTAGGGAAGGGATTTGGGCTAAAGAATGGATTGGAGAGACAAGGTCCCACACAATGTTTATAGCAAATCATACATTTAAAGCACAGGGCTGAAACATGAGCGGTAAAGATGTTTAATGAACGTCACTGGATTATGATGTTAGGGCAGGCAGAAGGCCGGTAGACAGAAACACAAGTGGACTCTGAGAAGGTGGCATGTGGCTGGTCTAGAGCTCAGGCGAGTCTGCATACGACTCTATAACTCAAACACAGCTTCTCCTCTTTCCCCCAGACCTCCCAGCAGCTCCCTGGCCTCCGTCCCAGACACAGTGCTGGGTTTGGACTCATTCCACAAACCCTTCCTGGAACCAGCCTTTGGAACAGTTCTTAGGAGGAAATGCAAGACCTTCCCTTTGTTTTGTTTCTGCTTATGTTTTGGGGGTTTTGCATTAGAATTTTGCCACCCATCAAATCTGGTACTCCTGATGAAAAACTCTTTCCTGCACTCTGATTATCAAGTGCTTACTGATTGAGCAAGAAAATATACAAAGGGGATTCTCCAATGTGGAAGCTGGTCCCCAGCAGCATGTGGGACCTGTTCCAGGTCTAGGCATCTTTTCTTCCTGCATCCCAGTTGCTAAAGACACCCTGAATGACTGTTTCGTTACAAAAAATGATTTAATGTATCAATTGACCATGAGAGAAAGGACAAAGCATAGAAACAATCCATGGCCTTTCCATTTAAATCAGCAGAACATTAAGGGCACACAAATCTGCCCTGCCCAGAGTTGAGCTAATCCACTGTAGCCTGGCAGTTTGTCATTTGGAAAAATATCCTGCACTCTGGAGTCTGGCCTTCTGGTAGAGCCCAATCTCTTTTTTAGACTTGGAAGCTGGAGGCCCTCTATGTCTCTCATGCAATATAGCTGCAAGGTTAAATGCCCCAAGAGGCTCCTGTTCTCGGTCGCACACTGTGCCCTCAGCGGAGCTATAGGTCTTCACTGCACGGGCCACCATGGCAGACTCCACTGGTAGCCGGTCTCATCAACCGCCATCCCACCCCCGCTTCTCCCCACCCTTTCCTTGCTAATGGATCTGCACTTTTGTTCTGATATCTGACATAGAACAGGCAGCACGGAAAGGGGGGTCTCTTCCCAGAACCTTGAGAAGAATCATGGCTACTTTCATCCCGTGTCACTGCAATCCCATCCACCAACTGGTGTAGGAGTGGGCATGTGACCCGTTTCTGCTAGATGTGAATGGAAGCCTGCTGGGGGAGCTCACTGGAAGATTTTCTTCCCCGAGAAATGACAGAAGCTGGCTTCTTAGAAAGACTCCCTTTCCATTCGTCCCTTTCCACTCTTTGGAGAATACTACTGGGTGAGGATGTGACCAGAGCTGTTGCAGACACAGTGAGATCATGTAGGACAGGCAGAGAGGGTTGAAGGGATTCTCCCTCAGAAACACCATATTGCAGGGGCGCCTGGGTGGCTCGGTCAGTTAAGCGTCCAACTTTAGCTCAGGTCATGATCTCACAGTTCATAAGTTCAAGCCCCTCATCAGGCTTTCTGCTGTCAACACAGAGCCCACTTCAGATCCTCTGTCCTCCCCTCTCTCTGTCCCTCCCCAGCTCTTTCTCTCAAAAATAAATAGACACAGGAAGGAAGGAAAGAAGGAAGGAAGGAAGGAAGGAAGGAAGGAAGGAAGGAAGGAAGGAAGGAAGGAAAGAAACACCATATTGCAGAGATGCTGAGCCAAGCTTGGAACCACCTATCTCTGGACATCCTGTTAGGTGAGAGGAATAAACAACCATAGTGTATATACACTGTATGGGTTCAATTTTTTATTCCTGGCAGTCAAAGGCATTCCTCATTGTCCCTATTTCTGTACTGGCCAAGCAGCAAAGTCTTAGGCTGCTTGTGAACCACAGGTCAACATCATCCCCAGAAATAGGAAGTGAATTGGCCTTCATTCATCACACAGATAGAAGGGAGGAGGAACTCACTCCATCCTGATGCATGATTGATTTTTTTTTTTTTTTTAAAGATCTTCTTTATTTAAATAACCTCTCCACCCCACACAGGGCTCGAGCTCACAATCCCGAGATGAAAAGTCGCGTGTCTCACTGACTGAGCCAGCCAGGTGCCCGATTCAGGATTGGTTTTATCTACACAGCCCATGACACTGAGGGACAGTCGAAGCTAACCTTGCAGGGCTCAAGCTGGGAGCAGAGCAACCTGGCCGTGGGGTCCCATGTTCCAGGACCCCCTGCCTTTAGCTCTGTGATGGTAGCACCAGGCAGTCCCTTCTTAAGTGTTTGGAGGGCAAACATAAACAAGCCTTCAGCTCATGCCTCCTTACATTTCCCACCTTGATTTCAATGACCTTCTGAATTGTCAAAAGTGGACTCTTTCAAGGAATTGGGAAGGAATTGTACCTTAATGTTAATCGCCAATCATGCTGACATGAAATGCTTCCTCCTCTCCTCTCCTCTCCTCTCCTCTCCTCTCCTCTCCTCTCCTCT